TATTGCTTCTTTCTGTTCTCCTATCTGTTGTTTCTCTTCTGACTGTGAGTCTTAACATGCTGGTAATCATTGCAATTCTGCACTTCAGGTAAACACTATTTTAAAATTAAATGATATAATGAAAAAAGAAGGATGTTGCAGAAGGAAATTGATGTCAATTAAACATACTTTTAATGCATTACTTATTTTAACTATTATTGTTTAAATAAGTGAAAGGGTCAACATGTGTTTGTGTTTCTAATCTTTCCAGACAGCTTCACACCTCCACAAACATGATTCTTCTCTCTCTGGCTTTCTCAGATTTCTTCGTGGGTTTTCTATTCTTGTTTCAACTCATGATGGTAGACGGCTGCTGGTATCTTGGCAACCTCATGTGTGCTCTGTTTTTTACTTTAGATTTCATTGTTGTCGCTGCCTCAGTAGGAAATATGGTGCTTATTTCAATTGACCGTTATGTAGCCATATGTGATCCTCTACATTATCCCACTAAGGTTACTCTGAAAAGAACTAGAGTCTCAGTTTCACTCTGTTGGACTTGTTCTCTAATTTATTCCATTGTGGCGTTGAGAGAGAGCCTACAACAACCGGACATGTTTAGCTCCTGTGCTGGAGACTGTACAGCTGACATTGGCACCACGGGGTTTATTATCGATCTTTTTTTAACATTCCTTATTCCCATTACTGTCATAATAGTTCTTTATGCTATAGTCTTTGTGGTGGCTGTTTCTCAGATTCAGATCATGCGCTCTCAAGTTTCAGTCCTCACAAGTAGGTATTCAGTAAAAGCAATTCCCAAAAAATCAGAAATAAAAGCAGCCAGGACTCTTGGGCTTGTGATAATTGTGTTTCTGTCTTGCCTTTGCCCTTATTTCTGTATCTCCCTATTGAGTTTAGAGAGCTTACTCCATACTTTGACAGGTGTTTATGTTATATCATTGTTTTACTTCAATTCGTGTCTTAACCCACTAATCTATGCATTATTCTATCCTTGGTTTAGAAAGTCTATCAAAATTATTGTTACACTTGAAATATTCAAGTCAGGTTCCTCTAATGTAAACTTACTGCATCCCTAAACACTATACTGTACAGTGTCCAGCAAATCTGTAAACAATATTTTTCCTGATGTCAAAAACTCAACCTCCATGTGTTTTAGTTAGATTTTATGTGTTGGACAAATAAATAATAAAGCAGAATTTTGAAGGAGAAGGGAAAAAATCCACAGTTTTAATCAAAGAAATACTTTACATTACACCAACACTCAGGGGCCAGTGTAAATGGTGAAAAAGAGAAAATATTCTATTAGGAGGGGCTCAGTAAGGACCCTGATAGAATTACAATAGTGACAGAAATATTATGACAATTAGTAATACACTTATAATCACCCACTGTTTTATGTTTCAGTAAAACCATGGTTATTTGTCTTGAAAACATTTCTCAATAGGCTGTGACACACATGCACAACCACACATGCTCGTTCTGCCATCGTAGTGAGGACCATGTGTTGACTCCCATTTACTTTCATTGATTTTCAGTCATTCTCAACCCTTTCTCTGCCCTAACCCTAAAACTAATCCTGAACCTAACCATTACCAATGCATCTAATGAAGCCTCTGGCAAGCCTTCAAGAACGGCGATTGAGATTGAAGAAGGGGACAGCAAGATGTTGTAGTCAAGGAACCAAAGAAAGGAATTAACATTAGCTCCAACAA